TACGTAGTACGACAACTACTACGTACTTACTTACTTACTACTTAAACTTTTAACTTACTTAGTAAGGTACGACGTAGTAGTAGACGTATCTACTAGAGAGTATATATATATATATATATATATATATATATATATATATATATATATCATCATCCAAATGCTCGGCTACATGAATCATGTTCCTCTATTCTTCTCTATTAAGGGCGATACCCTCTGTAAGACAAGTTTAAGATTTATGATAAGATGTGACAAAGTTTTATGTTGGTTGCTTACCTAACGCAACCCACCGCTTTTACCTAGGCTTGGGATGGGTTAAGAGAAAATTTAAGGTCCTCACCCTTGTAAGACCACCTATATATATATATATTTATGTTATGTAAACATATGTACGAGTATATGTATATGTATATATGTAAGATCACTTATTGGGATAAGTCTCTGATGATAGTGTTGATGATGATAATGATGATATATATTGGTGTGTTTGTATAAGGTGCCCACCTTATACTATACATGTAAGTCGTGTCTCTAAATTTCATGGGAAGATATAGTTCTGATGTTGGAAACTTTATGATGACTTGAAAATCTATGTTCAACGCTAATTATGAAACTTAAAATTCAAAAGTTTGCAGATCGAGCAGATTTATAAGTACTTCAAAATCTTGGAAATAGACATCCCAAATAAGTTGTTACAAGGTACTCTATTTTTGGGACTAGAAATTCTTTTTTCCCTTCATGTCCATATATCTTGAGGGTTGAGATGATCAATTGGAAGTTGGAAAATTTCCAAACACTTTTTTCTATTGGATTTTTAAGGTGCACCGTATGTACTATATATAGTAGAGGGTTGCAACCTTGTAGAGAACGTTTGCCATATATATAGTTGAGAGAGGTTCTCATTTATAACTTCTTTATTGTCTTTGTTCGAAATAATTTTTACCCATCTAATTGTTTGTCATTCTTCTGCCTCAGATATTCAACAAATCCCTGCTGGCTAAGTTCGCATGGGCCATGGACGTTGAACCTGATTACAGATTCTGATTGGTTATGTCAACACACTATCTCTCTCTCTCTCTCTCTCTCTCTCTCTCTCACACACACAAATGTTGCGGCTTTAGGGTTAGGTGAAATGATTCTGAGTCTATAATGGGTTATATGCTATAATTCTTTCTCGGTAAGAGGAGATTTCCTGTTGTACACGCCTCGGATGACTGCTCAATTGCAGTTCTGAGAATGTAGCCAGAGAGAAATCTCTCCTGGAATGTGATATACAACAAGAATTAGTGCAGGAGACTCATAGTCTCGAATATTGGTTGAATGCAGGTGCTTCTGTATAAACATATTTCTTCTCAATTCTGTGAGATTGCCCATTGTTTTGGGGTCGAGGTTTTCTTTTGCAGATATCAAGAGGTGCTCAATGTGGGTCTCATAGGGTCGAGCTGAGGCCGTGGCCCCAATAGGATTGGCCTTGCCCAGCCTAGCCCAAACCAGACCTACGCTCCCTGGCCAGCCTCACCCTTTTGGCCCTACCCTATAGGGACCTAGCCTGGGATCAGCCTGGGAGAGGGAGACTAACCCATGAATAGTTGCTGGGCTGTTTAGGGAGCGACCACATCCAAGCAAGGCACCGAAGTAAGGGTCCCTACATGTGGGCGTGGCTTGTGAAAGTGCAATAAGAACAGGTGGTCAATGTTTGTGGGTAAAGTAAAAATCGAAATAGTGCCAACGGGTTTGGGTTGGGACAGATTTCGAGAGCACCATATCTTTCGTAGAGAGATGGAGGGAGCTCAGGCTTTAGCTTGGGCGTTCTTTCGAAGAGAGAGAGGGAGAAGGCTTCAACCCACAAGAGTGAGAGGAGGGAGCTCGGACCGGGGAGAGAGTGTGAGGGGGCTCGGACCGGGGAGAGAGTGTGAGAGGATGGGGCTTGGGCCGCAAAGAGAAAGTGAGAGATGAAGAGGATCTGGAGCTGAGGGAGAAAAAGTGGGAGGAAAAGCTTCGTTGAGCTCGGGCCGTGAGGGTGAGGGAGAAGCTTCTGTTAAAAAAAATATTGGGGGAAATACAAGGTAAGAGTTAAAGAAAAGGGAAAAGACCAAAAGGGTATTTTTGTCCCTTTCTAATTTTTTTTTGGGTTGGGGTTTGTTTTACAAGGATAGTATATTGAAGGGAAAAAGATGAGAGAAAAATCAGTAGGGGTAAGTTGAGTGAATAGTGCATTCTTGGGGGGTTTTTGTAATTTTCCCTAACATCTTCTTTGGCGGATAATGCGAGGAACCTTTTAATCCCCTATTGGATGGAGTTGAATAACTTTTAATGTCATAAGTAAATTTGGATAAGTTTGAAGTGCTTTTAAAGTCATCACTCATATTGGACATAAAAAATGTTTTTAACGCCTTCACTTTCAATGGATTAATTGGGGATATTTTAATGTTATAACCTTTATTGGATGAAGTCCAGCAACTTCTGTGGCATTAGATATAAACGTGTTTGGGATACTAATAAAGTCAACACCCATATTGGTCATAACGTTGACAGACCTATTAGGGGTGTTTTTATATCTTCACCCTCATTGACGTTCCAACTTTTGTTGGAATGAAGTCCGATAGTTTTCTGTCTTAAGTTCGGGGTGCTTTTAGAGTCTTTATCCGTATTCGATGATTTTGGGGTTCCTTTAAGGTCTATTCCCCTGTTGGACCTAGTTGACGAGCATTTCAGGTCATCGCTTATCTTGAACTGATTGGGTGTGCTTTAAAGGTCTTTACCCATGCCAGACCTATCAGGGGTGTTTTATAGTCTTCATCCATATCAGACTTATATTGGATTGGACATGAGATATGACATTGGTCCACGAGGGTGGTTGTTTGTTTGTTTACGACATTAGGAACTATTGTGGATGAAATCATAGAGGGTTTGGAGAGGAATCGATTGTAGGAAAACCTCCTCTGAAGGGCGTTGGGGATCCTCCGACTCGCTCTGTGCCTATTATCACGGCATCCATCTATTGATCATTGCACAGTCCAGACCAATTGCTCGGATTCCAATTGCCAGTCCCTCCCAGGGTTTGCAGTTGAATAATGCTTCCATCAATTTTGTCTGCCTTAGAGATCATATTAGCAAAGGTGGTGTATTAGATGCCGTGTAGTGATATCTCTTTACGCATGCAGCGAACACACGTTTACACGTATTAGCCTTGGGGCATTGGATATTTTTGATAGATGGTGAGGTCTGTCCCCCTTTGCATGAACTTGTCAACTGTCTAGTCGAGATTCTGGGTACTGGTGAGAATTTTGATGGCTTGAACATCGCGCTCTATCTCATGGAAGCACTTACAGATTTGTTGTTCCATTTCTGCCCGTGCATCGATTGATACATCATATCCGTAACACTGCATCTCATTAGATAACAAAAAAGTTTACAAAGTTAAATAATGAAAAGTTACATACTAATTCCAGAAAGTCAAATGAAAAAGAAAAATGATGCAGCCATCAAATTACATCTGAGATGCATTTAACTGTGATTAGTGGTAAATAAGAAAAAGGAACATGCATGTAGTAACATGGGTTTCCTTCCTATGTGGGAATGGAGTGTTTATGAATATCAGAAGATGAGTTTGGGGTTATTGGCTGAGCTCAATGCGAATGAAATTACACATCCTCCAAAAAGAAACCAATGCTCATCTCTCAGCGCTCTTTGTGCTCATTCACATGAAACCATAAATAGAGTAAATTGCATCCTATGAATATTGTTAGGTCCTATACAATAAATTGGAAATAATGTATATGTATATCATGAGGTTATGATGATAACTGATTCAGTCTCTTCTCAAACTGCTTCACCCAACAGAGTGCTTCCAATGCTTCAGCTTGTCTCCTTGCTCTTTTCAAATTGAGAGCTTTCATTTTCTGTGCTTTCATCTTTTCTTTTTCCTTTCAGATTAGCTCTCTCAAGGCTAGAGTTTTCTTCCCCAGAACTTGAGTTTCCTGGGAAGTCTATTTCCTCCATCTCAGCCTCCAAAACCTTACCTTTCTTCAACTCTTCATCTGCCTCATCAGACTTTCCTTGCCTTCTTAGCCAAAAAGCCTCTCTTTATGCCTTACAATTCCTTTTGAAAAAAAACATCAATATCATGAGTATACATTTGGGTAAAAAAGAATCACCACAAGCATTAATGTCAAAAATAAAAATAAAAATAAAAGGAGTACAGTTAAATGACCTAGTAGACATAGTAGCAGAGCTAGCAATTTGAAAAACGACAATAAAAGGAGCAGAGTTAAATGACCTAGTAAACAAGGATGTGCATGCCTGAGACAACAGAGAAGAGAAAACATCCCAAGCTAATGTCCCCATTAACTAAGCCACTAGCAAAGCTTAGATGTACATCAACATGCTAGTTTGGACCCAAAAAATAGCATAATCAATAACAAATGTGTTAAGTAACTTAAGTTGAATTCTTTTCTCAACACACTCTCACGGCATCACATGCCAAATACAAAACCAAACCTCTCATTTCAATGGTTAGCATGTGTTGAGTAAAAGGCTTCAAATAACATGCTTCAAGATGCCATGCAGGAATGACATAAAAAACCAGTAAGCATCCACATTTTAATTCATTTGCAAAATTGAAATGAAGTATTATCAAATTAAACATTCCTATTTCTAAGTGGAAGTGGCCTTAAAAATATTAGACCATACAATCGAACCAAGAAACCAACTCCCTAGGCATATATTATATATGGCAACCTTGCAAGCACAGTAAGATTGTGGCCTTAAAAATATTAGATCATAGAATCGAACCAAGAAAGCAACTCCCTAGGCATATATTATATATGGCAACCTTGCAAGAACAGCAAGAGTGTAGCATCTGACTAAAAGGTCAATTACTTGGTATGTCGCATTTATCTAAAAAACAACTGCACCAGATGGGTTTATTGAGATTGATAATGTTTGGATGTCATTTATATTAGTGCTATTTTGTACTAGATCAAGTTCTTCTATGTTATGTGGCTGCAACCTATGACACCTACAAATTGGTACAGAATTGAAGATTCTTCAGTTTGCAACAAGTGACAGTCATAGCAGCACCAACAACTACAAACATCAAACAATACCAGGTCTCACAAGCTCCAAAACTGTCTAAAAGGTGACGACTGTTGTAAAATCAGCAGCAAATCGAGCATATCACGGGTTGTATATTGCAGCCAACACAAACGCTCAAGTGAATACACGACTCTAGATACAGTTTGAAACTCTATCAAATAAAGTCTAATGAGGCCTTTATTAACAGGAAATGCAGCAACAATCAAACACAACTCTCAAGCATATAAACTTGAAAAAATATGAGCAAACGGTCATCCCAACACAAGCTCTATCATGCGCATCAAGCTTGACATTCTCTCATGATCATAAGAAGACCACGAGCTCACTGTTGTAACAACACCTATCAAAGAATGCTTCAAAGCAACAGTGCCTAGAAAACTTTAGTAATGCATTGTCATTTGAAAGAAATAGAACACCAAAGGACAATCAACCAGCGAAAGTAAATTTCTTTTGGATTTTTTTAAGGCTGAATTCGACTGATTCGGCCGATTCCCGATTTGAATCGACACGGGATCACCGATTCCCGGGTCGAATCGGCCGATTCCGTGCCGACTCGCCGAGTTTTCAATCCCTGGTAAAAACCATGAAACCACCCAATTGAGCTTTTCTAACCTCTTTCATGAAATCCAAACCATGCCAGGATTGAATTCATTCATAAGAGAAGAAACCATAAACCAATAAACTAGAAACCAGGAACCATTCTAGAGAAAGAGAGTTCACAAATATTAACTCCAAACCATCCCAACATCAGCTTAGAATTCTCATTGTCTCAATTTTCATTAACTCCAAATCAATCGTCTTGGTACTTCAAGAAAATTCTAATTTTTTAAGTTAAATTAATCCATAGAAACCCAATATGTGAATTTATAATAAAAGCACGTCTCAATAAAAATGAAATTAAAGATTCACAACAAGAAGAACCTGCACTTCATAATCTTTGGGGGAAAAAAAAAAGAAACCGAATAAATTATGGAAGAGAAAATGGATAAATGTTGAACAAAATAATGTAGAGGCATGAATCTCCCTATAATACATTTATAAAAAAATAAAAGATGAAATAGGAAGGAAACAACAACATGCAGTGATCTATACAGGGGCATCTGAGATATAAAATAAAATTCGAAATGTTTTAAACTAAATCATTTTGTTTAGAATGAATTGAACCCAATAGAGAAAATAGGAAAAGATAAAAGCTAAATTTACAGCTCCTGAAAAACAAAAATTTCAAAAGCAGTTCATTTTAATTCCAGAAAGACCAGAAATTAATTCTGCAAACACAAAGTTAATGGGTTAACAAACCCCTGATTCACACAGTAAAAATCGCAAAATAAAGCCACAAAAAATTTACAAGAGTACAAAATCAACAGAAATTTCTCAAATCCTGACCAACCAGTAGATGAAAAATCACAAAGACAAGCCACAAAAATGAAATCAGAGAAAGGTTTGTACTTACTCTATCTTTGGGGGTATATTTCTTCAAAAGAAAAAAACCAGCAACAATGTATTAGAGTATTTTTATTTTTATTATTATACATCATTATGAATACGTAATGAGATATGTATATGTATGGGTATATATCTCTCAGGTGTCTTTTGATTATGATAAGATTAGTTAGTAGTTATCCATAACCGTTGGTATTTATCTTCAATTGTTACTGGACGTATATTTATACGGGTCTTGTACAATAAAGAGAGTGTTCTTTGCAGTAATATGAAATTTTCTTCCATGGGGAACTAAGGCCCAAATATACAGAAATGCAGTTTTTTAACACGGTATCAGAGCAGTAGATTTTCTGAGACCAACTGCTGGATCGAACCAGCGACCTAAGGGATTGATCCGCGTCTCTAGAATCCTCTGATCAGAGCTCTACTGCAAGCTCTAACAGCTTAGCAACCCTATTGTGCCATTGCTTCCCAAGCTCCCCATCGTGCCACCCATAAGCCTCATTTCGTTCTCAACAACCAACCCTTTATAACAAAAAAAAAAAAAAAAAAAAAAAAGAAGAAATTCTCCGCCTCCAAAATTGCCTTCATGCAAAGGCTATCTCTTGCCCATGCAATGACCATCTTTCTAAAACCTATTAGTCCTACTTTTGCACCCCCACCTTGCAGGACAACGACCGTTGGAGTAGATGCAACAAATTTGGCATGGAACGACACCTTCTTTTTTAGGTAGCTCATTAATACCCAAGGAGTTGCGAATTTGGAGGCAGTGCCTACCTTGCAGTTACACTCGATATCACATAATCATCCAGAGCAATCGTAGGATTGATCCGGATTGGAAACTTCCTCTAAATCCACATCTCAAAATGGCCTCTGAAAACGGCCGATCTGCACTCTCTGTCGAGTCCTCTTTTGACTATCTGCCAAGTCGTGCTTTGAGTCTCTACAAGACTCTTTGTATTTTGCAAGACTCTCTGCAAAACAACCTTTGTCTTTGTTTTGGCCTGTGTTATGGACGATGAGTTGCTGAATTTGTCACGGTTCCTTATTGAGTTCTGTTGGCTCTTCCAAGTGCCATTTTGTGTTTGTTCTTCAAGCAAGAGACCACTACTTCCACTGCTTCTATTGGTCAAGCCATGTACGTTAAGACTTAAAGATCCAACTCGTTCGTTTACGTATCTTTTTGTTCATACTCCAACTGCTTTGTGTAAAAGCATCTTGAGTTTGAAGGGAGTATTAGAGTATGTTTATCTTTATTGATATACATCATCATGAATACATAATGAGATATGTATATGTATGGGTATATATCTCTTAGGTGTCTCTTGATTATGATAAGATTAGTTAGTAGTTATCCATAACCGTTGATATTTATCTTTAATTGTTACTGGCCAGATATTTATACGGGTCTTGTATATTCTTGATCAATCAATAAAGAGAGTTCTCTGCAGTAATATGAAATAATCTTCCATGGGGGCCTAAGGCCCAAATATACAGAAATACAGTTTCTTAACACATTGGAGTGGGAAATGCACCTCTGTAGAAGGCGGATTGGTATGGTATTTCTAGCTTGGAGGAGGTGCTTCAATGGCGGGGACGTCCAGGCGGTAGGGCAATGGGTTGGGAAAAAGTTTGTTCAGAAGAAAAGAGAAGAAGATGGCCCGAGTGGTTCAACGGGCAGCGTGGTTCACGAGGCCAAAGCTAGCTCAAGAATTTTCCCAACTCCAACTTTTTTTAGGAATGAATATAAACTAGCTTAGGTGCCTTTGAGATAATTCTAAAGCTCGTTTTGATTTATGAAAGGCATCCCAACAAATGGATGTTCATTTCCAAAAAGCAACGGTTGGTTCGGATTCGATTGTTACGTTGGAAGAAAAAATGGAGAAAGAAACTTTACAACGTTACAAAGAACTTCAAGACATTATAGCTATTCTTGGACCAGATGAATTATCCGAAGAGGATCGTTTAACCGTAACAAGAGCACGAAAAATTATCGCAACCCTTCTTTGTAGCATAGGTATTTACTGGTTCTCCAGGAAAATATGTTGATCTCGCATAAACAATTAGGGGGGTTTCAATTGATCCTTTTCGGAGAATTAGATGGTCTTCCCGAACACCCTTTTTATCTAGCAGGTAACATCGATGAAGCTCACGAAGGCTATTAACTTAGAAGTAGAGAGCAAATTAAAGAAATGACCCTAAATCTTTGTGTACAGACTCCTAATTGAATCATTTGGGATTCAGAAGTGAAATAAATTATTTTATCCACTAATAGTGGCCAAATTGGTGTATTACCAAATCACGTGCCTACTGCAATGGCTGTAGACATAGGTATTTTAAAAAATACGCCTCCACGAGCAATAATGAAATAACAATATTAATAAATGATGAGGAGGTAGTGACATTGATCCGCAAGAAGCTCAACACACTCTTGAAATAGTTGAAGCTAAATTGAGTAGAGCTAAAGGTAAGAGACAAACGATTGAGGCGAATTTAGCTCGTAGACGAGCTAGGACACGAGTGGGAGGCTATCAATGCTATTTCATCCTAGTCGAAGTATCA